ACCTCGTTGCAAATCACACAAAAAGCCGGGACACATCCTTCCTGTAACCCGTACAGGCCCACAAATTCAACAGTTGATCGCGTGCGCCCAACTCACATAGTAACTTGGCCGTAAACATTCCGCCCGCAATCCACCATTCTCCCACGTCCTTTGGCCATGTCCTTGTCCAATTTCTGGCACGAAGCTCTCGGTAAGCTTCGAGTAATTACTGGTATTTTTCCTTCTTTGCCCGGGGACTCAACCTTTTCGCCGCCTCGTTTTCATTTCATTTTCATTTGATTTCCAGTAATTTTTGGGCGCGTTGCCCGCACAATACCCACTTGGCTTATGGGCTCCAAGGAGCCGGAATAATGACCCAAAGTCCCAGGGTGTGTTTGTTGTCCTTACGGGAAAGTAGGAGTGGGTATGGGTAATAAGGTAGATGAATGTGGATGTGGTTCTCCCTACCCCGCTCCACGACCAATCGCTGACCCAGTATTTCAATAGGAATTAGTGGAAGCTCCGCTTCCATAAATATTTGATTGATTCAGGCTGCTGCTGGCAGGTGTTTTGATTGATACTCCCATTTATTTATTTATTTATAGTCACGGCGTATTGTTGACAAACAGGTGTCCCACTAATTAGTTTCCGAGTGTAGTTAGCAGACTATTTCTATCAACTTATGTATAATTTTAGTCTACTTTACTTTAAGATGAAAACCTCTTTCTTATCACTGGTCCACTTATTTCTGCCAACAGTTTCAGTCAGCTGACGAACTGGTCTATCTTGTATCTTAACTTTATTTACACCCTAATCTCCAGAGATCAAGAGACAGTCTTTTAGACCACATATTGCATAATACAAGGTCGAGTCGGAAAGAAACCAAGCCATAAATCTCGCTAATCAAAAAACGTTAGGTAAATAATTAACACACATCTTTAAATTTAAATTTCTGCGAACGGTTCGTTTCCTTGCTGAAATGCTCGGTGGATGGCTCGGCGCTGGTGATCCTCCAATGGTTTACATCTCTGCTTTTGCACACAATTGGTTCCGTCGCCTGCTGCAAAGCTTGGGATCAGTTGATGTCTCCGCTAAAGTAGCGCCTACAGTATATGCCTACATGATCTAAAACCCATCTCGACTTTTTAGCTCCAGAAAGCTGCGAGCAGAAAATTGAAATAAATTTTCAGTTGCCTCTAGCTGATCGCCGCGATCTGATCGTCGTTACACTTCATTTGATAGTAAAATTCAGTGAATTTAATAGAGGATTTTCGTGCGGTTGTTTGTATTGGTGCGCTTGTTAACAAGGAGCTATATAAACAAAAGCATAGAGAAATTGAACATTTAAAGTGCTTTGTGTGCCACTTTTCCACATTTTTGGGTGCCTTTTACCCCGCTATCTGTGGATCGGCTACTTTCTTTGACTAAAAAGTACTTTTTCGCATTGTTAGGCGAGAATCCAAATTTGCATTTATAAAACCCCATCTTGATTAAATTCAATGTGAACCTGCGGCCCCTTACATGAACACATGAATAGATAACGAACCGAATCCGTCACTGTTTTTGGGATCGCTTTTTGGCACCGTGTGATTGACGAATTAACGCATTCAGCTCGATTAGCATCTGTATTCAAACTGGAAAAGTTCTATTAGCTATTAGCGATCCCATAGCCAGACTTCGGTTCTCAATTGTCTCTCGATTGTGGCATTTTACAGAAGCGATATAGAAGCCTAATTACACGGAAAACGCATATACGAGTATAAACGACCTTTAGTTGGGCCATCCCAGATATATTGTATAAATACAACTATATAGAGCCGATCCGTGACGCACCGCACAGCGATTCTAGGTCTGGTGGGTGGCGGTGACAGCGTAAGCGGAAAAACCAAACAGATTTCGGCCCAAATAGCAACACTTGGCTAAATGCGAGATCGCCACTTGGCCAAAATGCCGCGTGGAGGAACGACAACATCGTAAGTCTCAAAGTCAAACTAAGAAATCCACCCCCCAGGGCCAGACTTTAGACGTAATATAAGCAAATTCCTTTTTGTGTCGTGTATTTATTTAATTTAAACAATTGCTGCTTGTGGAGAAAAAAGTAGTTCGATCGAACAAGGGTACACATGTTAAGTGATAGTGTCAGGTTGTTGAGTAGCGCGAATTCGATTGTATCTGCAAGATACAATTTCCAGCAAACATACAGTACGTATGTGTGGGGGCTTGGCTCGGATTATTGGATCGTACCCGCACTCCCTCGAGAGATCGCTTCAATTAAACAAGCCGCGACATCGACGGCTTCTCTAAACAAATGCCAGGCATTGTAAAGTAACCCCCTGCCACATTGGATCGTATCGGATCGGTTGGGCTCAGACCAGTATATATAGTATGCCGTACGCGTACTTCGTCATAATCAACCCGCAGGATACGCAGAAGTGTGTTGGAGTGTGCGAGTGATTTTCAGCCATGCGTGCGACAGCAAATGTTTTAATTTGCCTCGATCCGCAGACTTTTAATTGTGCATTCCGCGTCAGCTCGTTACTTGTTACATCTGATGGTTTCTTTAATTGAATTGTGCCCTGGCTTCCTGCTACCATGCCTCTGCCACTAGCTTTTGTCCATATTTTCATCTTTCTAGCAGTAGCATTGCTCCACTTTAGGTACTACACAAGTAAATCAAGTTATAGGCATAATTAGCCTGGTTTAATAGAGGCTTTCGTAGTGGTTCTGGTTGCCCTATCATCTGATTAGTACACCTTTTTGTAGATCTACTCTCAGTTGGACATCTCGCTGCCATGGCCATCATAATCTGCATCACATGACCGAGATACGAAGGTTCCTAAGCACAACCCACTGTAGTTCTACGAGAAGAGTTTTCTTATCTGCAGATAAGAAATGTAAAAGGCTTAGACATGTTTAAACACATTATATCTCTAAAATATAATATTATTTTAAACTTGATGCTCGCAGAATGCAAACTAAATTTGCATATCTTAGATAGGAGCCATAGTAAGCTTCTTAACTGGTAATATTTATATTTAGTTTATACAACATTAAAGTCCGTAAAATTCAAACATCAAGGTATAATGTTTTAGATTTAGGCCTATCCTACTACTTGCATTTAATAAAATAATATAAATTGGTAGTGTATGCCAGGTCATAAATTATTTCATTAATCATCGTGGATTACTCGGCCTATGCTTGCACAAATAATGCATTAATCTGCATTTGTTAAATGACTATAGGAATTTGTATATTACGCCGCAAAGCCGATGCGCTTTCTCTGTTTACTTGCATCCCATTTGCAGTGGGTGCCACCGTCGAGTCAATAGCCTTTCATCCACAATGACCCATTAGCCATAAGTAGCTGCACCTAGGCCAAAAACCCGGCTCAAAAAGTCTGGCTCTGACTGAGGCTGAATCTGAGGTTCAGGTTCAGATTCGAATGCATAAAACAGGTGGCGGCCAAGAAACGAGTTTTCCATAAAACGAAAAACTTTTAGCGAAAATTTCCCAGCGCAGCGAGCCAATGAAAAGTGAAAGAGATACAAATGTGCAGCTAAAGATACAGATACATTTACAGACACACCGCACACTGGTGTGGGCTTGTGTTCCAACAATCTGCGGCAAGTGAAATGTGTGTTAAACCAAAGCAGCCACTGCTGCTAAAGCTGCCCCGCTAACCTCACCCCCCTGCAATGTGTTGATAGCTAAATGCCTGCTCCAACCGCACTACCAATCCCAAACCCATACCCATACCCATTCCCAAACCCAGACGCAGCTGCAGCCACATCGACATCCACATTCACGTCCACTGCGGCGGCGGAGTGCAACTTGTGGCAGACACTCGTTCATTGACACCGCCATCGGATGCACAGCAAGAAACATGATCAGCGATCGTCATTAATCTTTTTTAAATGCAGAAGCATTTGCTATGAACAAACAGAACGAATTTCCTATCTTCAATTAAAACTATCTTGATCTAATCGGAACTTTATTAATTAAAACAATCAATGATCCTAATGTGGGAAATAAAATTTGATAGAATATTATTTAATGTTATGATCATATTGATTTTAATTCCATTGAATATTTCTTTAATTTCATTTGATCAGTAAAGATCATATCGATTTTGGTAATTTATGCATACATTCATATATGAATACTTACACACAGAGAAATTTTTTAACTCGATCCCAAACTTGAAGATCGCAGCTTAGACAATTGAATTGTAAGCTTTTGTATCGCAATACCTTTTAGATTTAGTTTATACCATCGTGTATATTTCATATAAATCGCAGTTGCGTCGCCGCATTTTCTCCGAGTGCTCCGATCTTTGGGCACTCAGTGCCACACCGATCTCGCCCCGCCGTGTCCGATGCGGCATGTCCGTTGCAGTTGCACTTCGCGGCTAGTGTCGCATGTAAATTGGAGCAGCATCGGCGGCACCCCATGGCATTATCTTCACAATGCTGTGATGCAAGTGTCGTGAAAGCGAGAGCGATGGATGGTAATTCGATTCGCTTTTGCTTTCATTATCACAACAGGGGGCTCGCACTATTAATTTAAATAATCGCTTTGTTTACACTCGATACGTTGTTGCGCCAATGCATTTCGGAATTTCTAATGAAACCAAGGAGCTGCACTTGGCGATGATTAGGCGCTTGGTTGGCGGCCAGCAATGCGTCCAATTACGCCGACAGCACAATGTTTCTACTCCAGTTTGTCTGCAGGCCGTTAACTTTCGAAAGATCAACAGATGGCTTCGGTTTGGCAGCCCATTGTGTTCTTCTGGGACTTCTCCCACTGCACTATGCTGATGACGTTGGATCCGTATCTCTGTACCATTCGGGTGGGTGAGATCATTGCGTCCATCATCAGCCATCGAAATTGTATGTCATACGATCGCACGAGAAGTGATGAAATTAATATGACAGACAGGCCGCAATTGGGTGGAAACAATACACTTTTGACTCCATTACCCTTTCCCCAGCTGTCAAAATCATGCCATAGTCGAAACATTAATCCAAGTAGGAGTACATTCACACATAAGAACCCAACAATTCCAGGACAAGTGGAGCAGTTTGTTATAACATCTTTAACCCAACACTAATCCACGCATAAGGGAAAATTGGATATTTGCTAGGAAAATTAGATAATTGCGATTTCTCTTAAGTCCACTGTAATGCCACTTGATCCATCTATCCGTCTGTTGTCCATCAATTAGCCCGATTAGCAGCACATTCAACCCACAATTAGCATTACGCTATTCTTGAGAATCTCTGGTGGAATCTCCATAATTCGAAGGCAGCCAACATAAATTGTGTTTAATGAGGGGCAACCTACGTACCCCACATTGTAGTTGAACTGGTTCTGTCCCTAGAAATCAGAATCTATGAATCTAAATTTTGTGTTATCTTAGAAATAAGAGATATACTGGTTATGGTATCAAATACGACTACATCGAAACATGAAACCCATTGACGGACCCTTTATAGATGAACTGAACCGCTTGATCTTTCATCGACCCAACTTTATGAAAAGTCGGATTAAAAAGTAATTGTTTAATGCTGTATCATGTGCTTTTATGGATTTCCCTGCGCTCCAATCTCGTTACAGGCGCTATGAGGAGGATCCAGATAATGCCTGGAACTGCTGCTCCTGGTGCGAGTACTTGCTGATCGTCATCCTGTCCACGATCCTGCTGGTGGGCGTCCTGGTGCTGACCCTCTTTTGGGTGATGTTCTACCGGGATGGCTTCGCCTGGTCGGAGAGTCCCAAGCAGCAGTTCAATCTGCATCCCATCCTGATGATCGCTGGCTTCATCACGCTATCCGGATTTTGTAAGTCCCTCCCAATTGTGTTGATGTACCTATCTTAATCTTATTTGAAATACCCCCCAATTAGCTATCTTGATCTACCGGCTGTGCCGCTGCGTGAAGCACATCTATGTGAAGCTGATCCACATGTTCTTCCACGCCGTGGCCATACCGTGCATCGCCCTGGGTTTCATGTCCGTCTTCGCTTCCCACGAGGCGTTGCAAAAGGTCAACTTCTACAGCCTCCACTCGTGGCTGGGCTTCGTGACAATGGGCATGTTTGTGCTCCAGTTTGTGATCGGCTTCTTCAGGTGGGTCGCCACAACTCGATGTCCCAATCCGGCATATTAATCCACATCTTCTATAGCTTTCTGGTGATGCTGTGCTGTGAGAACAAGACCTACAGCTGCCGGTCGGCCATGGTGCCCATCCACGCCAGCTTGGGACTGGCCAACTTCTGGCTGGCCATTGCCTCATCCGTCACGGGACTGATCGAGAAGGAGCGCGAAACCGTCAACGAGACGGGCGTGAGGTAAGCATAGTTTGGTAATACCCATGGGCAGGTCATAGCACAACTAAAGATGAATACAAAGCAATCATTTCAATTCCCATTACCAACTACATAGTATGGGGTATTACTTTTAAGCGAAAGTCGTTAATTTGTTCTTGATTATCTTTACAGCAGTGAGAACAAGCTGGTGGAGCACTACATCACCAGTGCCATCGGCGTCACCCTCATCTTCATCGGCATCATCGTGACCTTCGCGGTGCGGCGTTCCAATGCGCCCGCCTCGGCGAAGGTCTATGTCACAGAGCGCATTTAGACGGGCCGTCCGGCTCGTCGGAGTCTCCGTCGCCGGATTTGATCCACGGCCAGGAGGGGAAGCGAGTCGCAGCAGATGTACCCGAGGATACCGGAACTCGGCGACTTTGACTGGACTTGGGGAAACGGACCGGCGGTGTCCTTTCGCCAGGCTTAGCGCACAGAGACCACGCTTCTGCAACTCTATCCGAACCCTTTGTAACCTTTTATATGCCAAATTAAATCCACTTCATACACTTAGACTACTCCATATGGCTCTAATCAAAATCTTTGCCCACTTTCAATCTCTCAGTAGGTGTGTAGGATTAGGAATCTCAGCAGAAGAGCCGACCAAGCAAGCAAATCTAATCAAAATTGACGTGTTCAGCCGAACCAACTGATGCATACAGGCCCAGGCACTCGCAAGCTAGATTAGCCAGTTTTTTGGTACTATAGTAGAATTTTGATATATAAGCCCATGTAACTAGTGTATGATCGTACCACGTAACGCATTGAATGTACGCACTCGAAATCAAAACTGTCGCATTTGATGTTTTTTGTAATCGTGCAAGTATTTGTATTTTCATAATGCGCTAAGCAACCTAAGCTGTAAACCAATTTTACAAACAAATAAATACTTTTGCCCTGTCTGAGGGTCTCATAATAACCAAATTAGTTTACGCATTTTGTGATGGGGATTGCATTCATTTTCCTATATCTGATATCAATTTAGGTTATCCCAGGTCTTTAATAAATTTCCATACAAAACTTGTAAAGTATTAGATGTTAATGCTATGAAAGCGAACTTCCTAACTGCATTGAACGTATATGTGTATTGCTATATTTCCATTCCAAAACTTTTAAGATCTTTCAAACCAATTTATATCATATTTCATAGCATATCATATTTGTATCTTTATATCATATCTTTATATTCTACACAGTCTTGGCCAAAGTAATATCCCCACTAAAAGTATCAAGATCGTTATTTTGATAGTCCCCAAAGTTTGTCCACGTATAGTTCCAGAATCTGGGATCGGCCCGAGGATCAGCGGGCTTATTCGAGGGCGGCACTGCGGTGGCATTGAATCTCTCTAGTTCCGCCATCAATGCGTTTACAACTTCCGGATATCTTAAATGTATTTGGAAAGAATGTAAACACTTTATAATCAACTTCACAGATTTCAGAACTTACTGCTTGGCCAGATTGTACTGCTCACAGGGATCATCGCGAATGTGGAACAAGCACGGAGCAGAGAAGGCGGTGGCCAAACAACTGGTTCCTTTGGAGGATTGTGCCGGGCACGACACCGTGGCAGCTGCTCTTATTCTCTGCTGATCCGCCTGACTTGGCAGCATCTTGAGAGCTTCCAGCGCTTTGCCCGCCCTACTCCTGGCCACCATCTGCCAGTCGTACAGACGAGGATTTCTTTCCCCCGCAGGACCATACCAACCATCCCAACTACCCCGGTAATTGGTGCCCTTGACCAGCTTCCAATCTCCAACGCTGAGAGCTGCACTGCCCCATATGTCATCGATATTGTGGAGCACATTCAAGCGTGGGGACGCCTTGTCCTGAACCAATGCCCGCCAAATGCTCTGGCCATCGATTTGCTTGCTGAGATTAGCCACGGCTGCTGGGCCACCAGCTGCCTCCAGGAGCGTGGGCAGCCAGTCGATGATGTGCATGGTCTGGTTGGACACCCGTTGGCTTTTCTTTAGCAGAGGTGACCACATGAGACCCGCCGCTCTGACTCCGCCCTCCCACAGGGTATTCTTGACACCCTTCAGGGGATAGTTGGAGGCGAAGTTAAGGTTAAATCCTTGGGCTGGACCCCCATTATCCGAGGAGAATATGATGATCGAGTTCTCCAGCATGTTCGACTTGCGCAGCTGATCCACAATTTGACCCACAGAGTCGTCCATTTTTGAAACCATAGCTGTGAATGTTTTTCAGTATTAATAAAATTCCCTTAACAAGTCTGAAAATTCTTAAAATATAACTTACACATAACTAGCAACTTACCCGCAAATTTTCGCCGTTTATAGTGCGGAATGTGCGCCATCTTGATCACGTCGTTGTCCGGAACTGGCAGAGGATTGTACGGATTACTCGAGTGGCAGGCTGCATGGGCAACGTAGAGAAACAGGGGACCCTTGGTGGCATTATGGCTAGCAATCACCTTGACCGAGTGATCGGTTATCACATCCGTGGTGTAGTGGCCATGCAGGTCATAGGCCACTTCCGTGCCATTGCGCATATCGAGACCCCACTGGTTGTTCTCCACGGCGGTGTGATCGTTGTAGTCCTGGTGACCCGACCAGAATCCCACGTGGCTACTAAAGCCGCGATAGAGTGGAGTGTACTTCAGCTTCCAATGGCCCAAATGCCACTTGCCAGCTATGTGGGAGGCGTAACTGGAAGTGGAGATTGTGTTTATAGAGTTGGTGTTACATATATCACAGTGACCTACCCCAACTCATTCAAATACTGGGGTAGTATTTTCTCCTCCAAGGGCAAGCCTCTTGGTTCAGCGGCATAAAGAACTGTATGTTGCATTCCTACAAAAGTGGCACTAATAACTATGATAAAAAGAAAAGGATGATCTAACACACCCGTATGTATGGGATATTTCCCCGTCATAAGGGCAGATCTGGATGGAGTACAAATTGGTGCCACATAGTAACGATTCAGAATAATACCAGAATACGCCAAAGCATCTATGTTGGGCGTGGGAATATCTGCCGAGCCATGGAAACCCACATCGTTAAAGCCCTAAAAAACAAAAATAATAAAACAATATGAAATTATTTGAATTAAATTCATAGTAATCAATAAAACTCACCAGATCATCGGCCAAAATAAATATAATGTTGGGCTGGGCAGGAGGTTTTTCATCCTCACCTGCAATCATGTTTGGCAGCAGCAAGCAGATCAACCATAAGAACCACATTATCTACCTGAAAAACTAGAAGATTGTGATTCATATTCGGCATTTAAAAGCACACCATAAAAAAAATTAGTTAAGTAATTTATGTATTGCGGAGAATCCCGGTGACAGTCATTACGAGAACGAGCTGAACCCAATTTATTGATCTTCCACCGTTTTGAATAGCATTGAATGGCATTGATCGTCATAGTTGTTCGAATTCATTTGCCTGTGCAAATGGAACTGAATCAGCAATTGCATTCAGTGCGACCTCAATATGAGTGGATTGCTCTTCTTCACCTGCGCTGAATGAATTGATTCGCAGTTGCGATTCATTAATCGCAGGGATACCCCTAAGAACGTACATACGTAATGGGAAGCGAGTATACTCATTTGGCCATTGTTCAAAGCGATTCCATGTGGCACCTAATTAACATGTAAATTGAGTTTGTCGCTGTTTGCACCGTTAATGGGTCAACAAGTACCACTCGGCAATCGGAAAGCTCAAATTAAAAAACCAAATTAGATTCGGAAACTTTTTCGAGGCAGATCGAACTGCTAATGCTCTTACGACCTTACCAAAAAATATATAGAATATATATCAATCAAGTATAATTAATCACTGACAAACAGGTTAACCAACTGTATATAAACTTTCAAGTTTAAGCACTTTAATAATATAGGAGGTATATAAAACTTTTTGATCAGTTCAGAAAACTGTTAAAACTTATGTAATTTCGGTAAGTTTTTAAATTCGGCAGGATAAAAATAACTAATGTTTTCGACTTTGCAGCACTTTTCACCTTAAATCGATTGGATATTATGTCCCATTTAACATTAAAATCTATATTATGCATTTTCATTTTGGTGATATATTGACCACATTTATGTGGTCTGTTATTTTAAGCCCTAAAATGTTGGATACAATGCGATCTCTCACTTTTCTATGCAGAAAACTCTTTGTTAAACAAACAATTCTATTGTTTGTCATAGGTCACTAACCCGTAATGAGAATCAAAAGAAGTTCGTTTATGCAAAATCACTCAACTGACTGTTGTAATATTTTTGTGGCGATTAGTAAAGTTCACGCTCTTTAGCACTCGAACGCTTATTTACTTTACTGGATTTTGGAATTAATTAAACGAACAAACAAACCGCAGGCAATGCTTATTTAACACGTTAACTTGTTAAGGTTTGCATGAGTTTTGTCAACGATTTTATTTTTCCATTTTTTATTTGTCAATTAACATCAACATACTTTGTATATGCGTATATGCTCTGCAGTATTTGTAAATAATTTATGTTCACAGAGAATCCCACTTTGTAGCTATTTATTCGGCACCAAGCGTACACCTACCGCCAACCGTTTTAATTCACGCGCCAAGTCAGACTGAAAAAATTCCCAAACAGCGCACCCAGAGCCGCGGACTTTTAACAGTGAAAGCAAAACGCTGTTAAAGATCGAAATCTATTCGCACAGGGGAAGAGCGAGTTGAAATTGCAGCAAAAGGGAAAACTCTTGCTTTCGTTGACCTACGACATTCACAAGTACTTTATTTATAGACACGGAATATTAAGGAATATCTAGGCTCTTTAATTCAACAAACTATTTTACGAAACAGATATATGCATACCTTCAAACCGCTGGGCTCCTGTCAAGCCCGCGGCAATACACTTTTAATGCTTAGTTCTAAATTTACATCTAGAAGTACACAGTGGGAAATAAATATATGCTAGACAGGCAATAATTTCCTATAGAAAGCAACCAAATCACCCAATGCTTTGTGTATTTAACAGTCCCCCAGGCGAATAGAGGGCTATTAGAGTATTTCCAGGTCCACATGACGTATTTCCGGAAATTGTGTCTGTTAAAATATGAAGTATATGAGTTTAGAAAGAATAACTACATTATCATCCATTATAACTAACCCGCAGGTTCATCTCAATGCGATCAATCTCACCGCCCATCAGGTCCACAATGTTTTCGCCTTGATCCAGCAAAAAGCTCTCCAGATCCTCAACCTTTTGAAAGCCTCGAACAGTCTGCGGAATGTAACAAAAACCGGTCAATGACAGGCCCAAAAATAGGTCAATACCACGTACTGTGAGCAGTTTTGCGAGATCCTGTTTATCCAGATACGAACGCGTCAGCTCACGGCCATCGAAGTCAAGCTCAGCCTGGGGAAATGAACTTTAGTGTCATTGAAGCCCTTTAAGAGCAAGGGTTTACCTTATAACGAACTCGAGCGTTGCCAATATCGATTCCCTTGACATCGTAAATCGCTCTGATCATCACATCAGCCTCCAAAGCAGAATTTATCTTTTCTAGGCGCTCGGATGCAATGGATATTCCTACCAGCGCATTGGCATTTGTATAAATGATAAAAGAGGCCACAGCACCCAGGAGAGCACCTATAACCAGTGATCCAGCGGCGTCGAAGATGGGCGATCCTGTGTAACTACTCAATCCCATACAAGCTCCAGCCACCATAACGCCAGTTACAGCTGCAGCGTCTTCGCACAGCACCACATTCACGCATGGATCCTTGCCAGAAATTACTGTAAAATAATCTGTATAATCTATTTTCTTATTACACATGAAAAGCTCACCATAATCTTTAAAGGTCATATTGTTTTCCTTGGCCGATCGTTTAAGCTCATTGATGGCCACCACCAGAGTGGCTCCCTCAGAAACTAACGATCCCATTAAGATGCAATACACCCAAAACAGATCGGT